CCCTAACCCTAACCCTAACCCTAACCCTAACCCTAACCCTAACCCTTAACCTAACGCTTACCTTTATGTGAATCGGCTTGCTGTAATTTAATTTTTATTTCAATTTTTCGATCTTTTTCGTCGCGCTGTGATGACGTCACATACGCGATTTCGTCGACCGCGCTTTTGTGGAACGCAGTTTTGACGGGTCACGGTTAAAGAACCTGGCTGCACAAGTGAGTAGGAATGTGCAAGTAATCCGGCGGGGCACGAAACCACGCCCCCAGCCCACGGAAAAACTGCCCTCTGCAGAACTGGTCCTTGGCATCCAAGCGGTTGGGGGGACACTGCTAATGCATTTTAATATATTTTTAAGGCCAGTATCTATAGAAGCTACATAAACAAGAATACTTACAGATTGTATATCTTGTAATGGTTTTTATGTTTTGAATCCAGAAACCTTGAAAGAAAAAGTGATACGTTAAACTCACTTTGATGCTATTTTTTTAAAAAAAGATAGAATAAAATACATTTGAGAGCAATTTTGATCAAATAATATTTTATGGATATACCATATAAACTGCTACTTTTCACTATAATCTTTCCCTTAATTATAAATTTAAGGAAATGTTACATTTTACTTATATATATATAAAACTCTAAAAAGTATTCCTGTTACTGAACTGAAGAAAGTTGAATTTCTGGGCACCATCTACACCGAAATTTAATTTTAACTTTCATACAATCTGTCTGAAATAAAAATAGATGCAACTCTACTTCACAATAGACTACGTAGAATCAGCTTCAAATTTGCCTGATATCAGTAGAATATCAGGTTTTTAAGCAAAAATGTGGTTTTATGCATTTTAATTACATCCACAATACAGAATATACAGTACTAATTTTCTCTCACTATTCTAGGAAATCCCAATATTCAACAATTAATAGTTAAAATTTGACTCATGTGCTGTGTGGTTACTGACACTGCATCATTTATCAAAAACCACTCATAAAATTTATGACACATATTTAGACTAATGTGATTATTTCTTGCATAATCATAGTCTAACTTTATGAATCCATATTTCTCAAGCTGAAAAAGCTTCACAGAACCAGTTATTAATACATCAAATCTCAATGAGATTTAATAGAGGTTAAATAACTGAGAGTTTAAATGGGGATGTAAGTTTCTTAGGGCAAAGATGTTATCTAAATAACCAACAGCTTCAAAACTGAAAAGTCCAAGGCAACAATCCATAAACTATGAGAAAGGCAGGACAAAGACGCACCAGATTTAAGCTGTAGTTAGGATAAGAAAAGGCTATATGCTAATGATGGTAGAGAAAATTAACTGTTTATATTGGCTTTATCTTGGTATGCAATAAAGATTCCTATCTAGTCTTGTTAAGTAGGCTGTCTGGGAAGCTTATGCTGAGTTCTACCTTGGACACCTGACAAAATCTGTATGCTATGGTCAATCATCAATTCAGGATTTCAAATTTATTTATGAATTCTTGTTTACGTAGAAGTAATTCAATCTACATTGTTAGTATTAAGGTAGCTGTTCAGTTGTGTCTTCCATGGTATTTAACTACTTGGATGAACTGATTAAGCTCTATGCATGAGTGCATTGCTACTGCACACTTGAGACAGAATTAATGGTTTAGTGTTATTGCAAAAATGGACAGAGATATTTGTTATACATGCCAGCTCATAAATTATCATGATTATTTCACCCATAAATCCCAGGAAACAAAATTATAAAAATGTATTCTTATAGCAATGTACTAAAGTATACTCAAATCCTGCTATTATCAAGTTTCAATTTTAGAGTCATAAATAGTGTTAGTACATAAATAATGCAGTTTTTATATAGATCTATTTTATATAGAATTGCACCATTATTTTACTCATTTTATCTTGGGAGAAAGAATCAGAGTGCCTCAAATTCCAGATCTCCTTGTCCGAAATATTATACCATACTATTAGTATATATGATAATTAATACTTTTCAAGTACTTCTTTTCTGAATAATTTGCTATCATAACAAGTTAACCCTGATTCTTTTAAAAGCATGTTTTTAACAAATATATTGTAGTAAAAGCAAGCTGAATTGTAAAATATTTTAGATTTCTATTTAGTTATTTATTGTCAAAGAGATTACTTTTAAAGTCTTAGTTAAAAATTGCATCACGGTGTAATAAAGTTTCATTGGGTATCTACAAATTATACTAATCAGTATATATAATCTGAGAAGTAATAATGTATAGCGAAGCTTCTTTTTTCAAGTATTATTTGCTGAAATGCCGTTCATGTAACTGAAATGCCTCCGGATTTGACCTATCCATGAAATGTATTTGCAGAGAACAATTTTCAAATCATAACTGATTCTTGTTCTTCTGCCAACTTACTACCCCTTCATAGTCTATTAAGCTCGATTGTCAAGTTTCTGGATGAGAAAATGAATCAACAGAAAGCCGGTAAGTCAAAACCACAAATGTAACCATTGTTTAACAGTTCCAACATTAGAGTACTTATTTCAAGATTCTTTTGTTTCCTCTAACTAATGCCTATTTTTAAAGTATTTCAATTAATCAGATAAATAAGGTCTTTGGAAGAAAGGCACCCTATTCTTCAGTTTTGTTTTTTAAAGAACTGTTTTATCTTTGGATGCAACTAAAATACCAAAATTCTTGCAATTGCTGTAACATTTCCTATCAGAAATCGTATTGATTAATTCTGTACATGCAGGAGCACATTGAGTTTGTTCTGATCTCAACAGAAAGATAATTAAAATAAGACAACTGGAATGGCACTGGATACTAGTTTTACTACACAAGTAATCAGTATGAACACTAGGCAGGATAAACATGATAGGAGATTGATCTGTGTAATATTTAAAAAGCCATCTGAATTGAGATGTTTATTCTCTAGGTTGGAGTTGATAATATTTGAGGCAAGTTTAAAGAGTTTAGGAATCCTTGTAGACACATCTACCATAAAAACAGCTGCTTCTACAGGTATCCCAGGCTGAGTACATATTTATGCATGACCCATAGTTTGAGGGGAAAAGCACCAGGAAAAGCAATTGTGCTGTGCTTTCCAGAGGACGTGACAGTCTTAATACTATGAACGGGTTTTCACTTCACCTCTCTGAAAGCTTTAAATTAAATATGTGCTTCAAGGATGTCACGCTCCAAATTATAACTGTGACATAAAGACATAAACGTATTCAGGTCTATAAATCAGATGCAGTAAAGAAGATGCTAGGTCCGAGGGAACAAAAGATTCCTTTATTGTTTAGCAATTTTAACTCAAAGTACTACTTATTTAATGCCATTATCAATGGCATTTTATTTTTCCTCTTTTAAAACAGTTCTATTTTACCACCCTGCACCATATATATGTACTACAATTGATGAAGTGCAATGATAAAACTTGTATGATAATAAAAATTAGATAACCCTTACGGTATTATAAAACATATTTTAAACACCAAATTGTTTTGTGTAAATTTTTGTTCTCACACTCAAATAAAACTTTAAGCTCTGTTTAAAAATAATTTATTTTTAATACTTAATTTCTTTTAAAAAATAATCAAACAAAGGAAGCAGCAGCAATAAAGTCAATAAAGTATAAGTTTAAAAAAAAATATTTGCTATATCTGTGGCCTGGCATTGGAGGAACATGTTCACAGAAAGTGACATATTAAAATGGGATTGTTTCACTACGGTTTGTGCAGTTATTGTGCTTTTAAGGAAACTTTTGTCAAACTTTTTTCAAGGTAGTAAGATTATTTCAGAGCAATTGTCACAAGTGGGATAATACTTTTTCTAACAATGATCTGCCTTCTACATATAATCATCTCCCCAGTGATCTACCAGTTTTTTCCACAGCTTCCTCTGCTTTAATAATATCCCAAAGGAATATATTATGAAATGGCCTTTCCAGATTTTGAACCTCGAGCAGCCAAGGAGGCTTTAAAATTAGGGGGGGGAGGGGATGACAACACTATCTTTCAGCAAGGAAGAATTGAAATTTGATTTCAGTTTTTATTTTATTATTCAATAAGCAATACTTGGAATATTTAATTCCTCTATTATAAATTTCATAGGCAAAATTTTTCAGACTAAGCAGTGAGGCTAACAAACAAGTCCAGCCTACTGAAAGATCAATACCATATAGTTTTACAAAATCATCATGTGAAAGTTGAATTCTACCATTGATGTTTGAAAAATATATTTATTAAAGTTTTTTTTTTTAGATGACAGGGCAGGAATTACCTAACTTTTTGACATTGAAAGGGCATTCCCACCAGGATTAAGGACTTCAATGGATGAGGTAGTGATGCAATTACTGAGAGGGGATGATTTTATTTGAGGGAGGGGGGGTATTTAAATATATATTTAAATTTATATACATACATACATACATACATACATACATACATACATATATATATATAATTTTATAATATTAAGTTAAAAGCTTACCGTAGTACTTTCTTAAGTGTATGAATGCTTTTGCAGAACAGAACCCAAATTTTAAAAATATTTTTATTCTCTAATCAATTCTTATAAACTGGCAGCACTAGTTTGTTTTGTTCATTCATTCATTCATTCATTCAATCAATCCAGAGTGGTAAACATTTTGACAAACCACAAAATATTAAGGTTGTCATTGAGCTAAGACATTGAGAATACATTCTTACCTTACAACGTCGTCAATATTGTTTCTGTACACTCCTTCAAGTCGTTCTGCCGGAAAACCCATTGCAATGATATTTGGATAAATATCTGAATATTCGCGTTAAAGGAAATATTTACAATTTTTTACAAAATTGCACAGTTAAGTGTAGTAAATACTTCAAATATTTAATTATATAATTTAAATTTTAAAAAAATTAGTCAGCTACCCTAAGCAGTGCTTCCCTAAAACTGGCTTATTATTTAATTAAATTGTCCAACTTAAAAGCAACAGCACCTAAAGGGACTATTACAGCTAAACAGCCACAATTGAGCCCAGGATTTTAGTCATAACTTGTTGCAGTCATTAAGTGGGTAACCATGACTTGATTTTACAACTATCCGTGAACTACTTTCACCATAATCATGAAACAAACCACATAGTTGTGAAGCAAGCCACATGATCACTAAGCAAATTCATTCTCACAAATGGGCATTTTTTGCCAGAAATCACAGAATACTACAACTGGTCCTGAATGCAAGCCAGCTGCCAAGCACCTGAAATGTGATCATATAACCACAGGGATGGGGTGTGTGAGTGACAGTCATAACTTTGAGGACAGATCATGCATAACTTTTGGGGGACACGTCATAACCTCAAACAGTTGTTAAATGATTAAGCAAGTAGTACTTCTAACAAAAAATTGTCTTTCCACATAACCTCACTGTTTCAGCAATATTATATAGAATTATTAAAAAATTTTTCCAAAGAATCTAATAAAAATAATTGTCTTAATTACGTATATTAGTGTTTACTTTTAATATATGTACTTAAGGTCAAATAGTATCATTGCATCATGACTGCATCATGAATACACAAGTATAACCTAAACTTAGGAACCAGATAAGAGGTTCATAACCATGTACATCACCAGAGATAACAATACCTAGGCCCAACTAACTATTAAATAGCCAGCTACTTCCACAAACCAGAGCTTAGTAGTACTGGAAGACTAATATAACAAAACAGCCTTTCAGAATGTAACCTGTTTATAAGTAGATGAATGTCTGTATTACAATATGCTATTTGACAAGTAGCACCAGCCATAACAAGATATCATGATTATTGTAAAGCTAGGATAACAGGCAGGATAATAGAGTAGAGTAGAGTAGAGTAGAGTAGAGTAGAGTAGAGTAGAGTAGAGTAGAGTAGAGTAGAGTAGAGTAGAG